GTAGGACTACGAGTCGAAATGGCGATTCAAGAAGAGAGACAATTGGAAAAAAACTGTCTGAAGCTGTTTTCATATGTGCCAAACGTTTTGATGAAAGAAGCTATGGCGAATTTTTCATCAAAATCAATGGCTGTGCCACAATACATGGGGCCTTTATTCTTCGGCTCTTATTTCATCCGCTTTTTTTTCTATTTTCAAACTCAGGTAACATGCATTAGGAGGATGTCCAATGTTGCTTAGGGAATATTTTTTTCTTTGCTTAGAGCCTACACATCTCAGTTCTACTATCCTCTACTCGCTTTTATGAAAGAATGTTCTTAAATTAGAAGATAACTCCATTGCTTTTATTAAAATTGGAGGTTTGAACATTGCTCATGTCAATCTAAAAACTCTGAACGCTTCAATCAAAATCAAAGTTGATCTGTCCGAGCGGAAACCCTGGTGACGAACTTATTCAGAGCTAAATTGCATGTCAAAATGAATTCACTGTAAATTAACTCTTGCTCTAAATGAATCTGTTCCAGATTCTTTTCGTAGAGGCTACCGAATCTTTTTTTGAAATCAGAACGCTACTGCTCCTACTAATATGCTAGGCTACAATCAAATTAAAGAAGTTCTTAATCCATGACACCTCAGTTGAAGTCGATCGAACTGATTTGCGATATTTGTTTATTTTTAGCATTTACGTTCAAAACCACAGAGTCGCCACCTGACTGCAGCCAGTAATCAAAGCCATCTCAAACGATTAAAAGCAAATTCAAGCATAAATTTACCGGAAACTTGAGTAGAGCAGGAAACTAGTTGGCTTCAATACAAAATCTCATTTTCACTATTTTATTTCTACAAGAAACAGTTTTTCTTAGTGTTTCCTCGCTAAAGCAGTCATAGATGCAGTCTAAAACCATATCAAACTCGATCTCAGCGGAATGACGGCAATTTGACCAAGAAAATCGCCCTCCTAAGCCTGTCGACTTGATTTCCTTGCGAGACGAATTTGTTCACACCTTCTCGTTCTTGACTCTTCTCTGAACCGGTGCTGGAGAGGCAGTGACCAGTTGCGCAGGCCAAAAGCAATAAGAGATCTTGTGTGAGGGTGGAATAGATCCTATTAAACATATTGTCCAAAATCGAAGGTATTAAGAGCCTCAAAAAGTCCTTAAACTAACGTTTTTCTCAAAGAGTATGAAATTTACTCGATCAAATGAGTTGTTTGGCCTTCTACGCTCAAATTTTTTAAATTCCTCAAGCCCAGAGATTCAAGGACATCCTTTATTATACATAGCTTGACCGTTGGCCTTCATGGTATGCTAAAGGACTTGTTGTAAAGGCACAAAACACTTGAGACGCGTCAACATTAGCTCCGAAAAAGCTGGTTTTGTTGAAGGACTGGAACATGGTAGTAATTGAGGATAGGAAAGTGCCTTAAATTGTGGACTCTATAAGAAGTTAATTTTCAAGTCATAGAAAAGACATCTATCATTGCATAATAGGAGGCAAGTCATGTGTTTCAACTTCTACCTGAGTAGTGAAGAAGTTTGTTAGTCATCCTTAGATGTTTTTCCTTAAAACGTTGTGAAGTCAATTCCCATTATGGCATAATGGTGTGCTGTTTCTTCGATGCATTTGTTGCTATATCTATATGTTCACTGTGTAAAATAATCATATTGCAAAAGAATGCTTTATTTCGCTATCTAACACGGTAGCTACCGTAAGCGAGTCGTAATGATAATAAAAGCATTGTTGATTTAGTGAGTGAATCTCGACACGAATACTGCTGAACGTGGTGGGCATGGGCAGTAGGCGGCATCGTTTCCTGGAAGTCCAGGGCCTCCAGGAGCTCCGGGTTGTCCATCTTGTCCTGGTGGTCCAGCTGGTCCAGGCTGTCCAGCGGGTCCTTGTGGTCCGGGAGCGCCATCTTGTCCGCGCTGTCCGTTGGGTCCG